TGGCTCTAATTAAGTTTTCAACATTGGATGTAAAATCAATAATCCAAAAAGTGCAAAAGCAAGAGAAAGAAGCCAAGACGATTGGTTGTAAGAAGGAACAGCAACAGGTCAGATTTTTGGCCATAGATAAATATTGTGCTTTGGACATTGAAACAAAAGTCCAGGAGATACAGGAGGAAGAGACCTTGTGGACAGACTTTGTCTATAAGGCGGAGGGTAAAGATGTTGAAACAAAGAAGCTGAGCTCAGAACAAAGCAAGGATATTGCTTCGAAGGCAGAAGGAATCAGAGAAAGAGCATCAGTAAGTTCTTAGATACAAGACCCCTTGGAAGAAGTAAATTTAAGAGAAGGTTCTATACAACAGCCCACCTATATAAGTGCTTGGTTGAATGCTCTTGATAGGGACCAGTTGTTGGTTGTTTTAAAGAAGTATAAAGATTATTTTGCATGGTCTTATAATGAACTACCAGGATTGGATAGGTCATTAGTGGAACATAGGCTCCCTATGAGGCCTAATTTCAAGCCATACAAGCAAAAACCAAGGAGAATAAGTCCAGAAGTGATTCAGAAAGTTAAGGAGGAAATTCTTAAACCCCTGAAGGCAGGCTTTATTAGGACAGCCAGATATGTTGAATGGTTATCTAATATTGTGCCTGTAGTTAAGAAGAATGGTAAATGAGAGTATGCATCGATTTCAGAAACTTGAATCTAGCAACTCCAAAAGATGAGTATCCTATGTCTATAGTAGATTTGTTGGTAGATAGTTCAGCAAGGCATCAAATTCTATCAATGATGGATCTGCACTCTGGTTATAACCAAATCTGCATTGCAGAGGAGGATATCCATAAGACAGCATTCAGATGTCTTGGGAATATTGGCACCTTCGAATGGGTTAAAATGCCATTTGGCCTGAAAAACGCTGGGGCTGCATATCAGACGGCTATGAACACTATCTTTCATGACCTCATTGGAGGGTATTTAGAGTGTTATATTGATGACATTGTAGTGAAATCCCAATCCATGGAAGAACATTTGTTTTACTTAGAAGCAGCTTTTGAAAGAATGAGAAAGTTTAAGTTGAAACTCAACCCTCTTAAGTGTGCTTTTTGCGTATCATCTGGAAACTTCTTGGGCTATGTAGTACACAAGAAAGGAATACAGATTGACCAGAATAAAGCCAAAGCCATTATTGAAGCCAGACCTCCATCAAGTAAGAAAGAATTACAAAAGTTCCTTGGGCAAGTTAATTTTCTTCAAAGATTTATTTCTAATATTGTAGGAAAAACTAAAGTATTTTCTTCCTTGTTAAGGCTAAAAGATGAAGAGGAGTTTGTGTGGACAGCAGAGCATCAAACTGCTTTCGAAGGAATTAAAGCCTACTTGGCCAACCCTCCAGTGCTGATGCCACCAAAGGGTGATAAGCCCTTGAAGTTGTACATAGCTGCAGCAGAGGATTCATTGGGAGCTTTCTTGGCCCAAGACAATAAAGAAGGCGAGGAGCAAGCTGTTTAATACCTTAGTAGGTTTCTAAATTCTTGTGAATGTAAATACTCAGCTGTAGAGAAGTTATGCCTTGCATTGTATTTTGCTGTAATGAAGTTAAGATACTATCTCTTGCCTACAACTGTCTTTGTAATTGCAACCATAGATTTGGTTAAATATATGTTATCTAGACCTATGTTGAGAGGAAGAATTGGCAATTGGATACTAGCTTTATCAGAATTTCATCTAGAATATGTTCCCCAAAAGGCAGTAAAAGGACAAGTTTTGTCTAATTTTTTGGCAGACCATCCATGTCAAACAGAGGGCCAAGAGATAATGGAACTTGGTATGTTTAGTATTGAACCATGGCAAATGTGGCTCGATGGATCAGAAGCCAATGGTTTGACTGGAATTGGTGTAGTAATTAAGTCACCACAAAGAGTAGAAACCACACATGGTTTCAGAGTGGATGAAATTGCCTATTCCAATAACCAAGCTGAATACGAAGTCTTAATAATGGGACTAGAAATACTTATTGGATTGCAAGCTCATGCAGTTAACATATTTGGATATTCTCAATTAGTAGTTAATCAGGTGAAAGAGATTTTCAAATGTCAAAGTATAAGCATGATGCCATACTATGTTGTTTCATTACATCTGCTCACTCAATTTCAGATAGCAAATGTAACTCATATCCCAAGATGCTGGAAATTTGTGTTAATGTATATAATAAGATAGTGGCATGTCTAGAATATGATAGTGGTGTTGGTGGCAGGTAGTGGCATGTATATAATATGATAGTGGTAGATAGTGGTAATATATAATATGTAAGTGGCATATAATGGGTTATAATGATGTTTGTAATATCTCCTATATAAGGAGTGTCATTTGGTCTTATGCTCAAAGAAGTTTTGAATATAACAGAAATATATTCCTTCTTCCTCATATTTTCGAAGTTCTTCTTCCTAAGGAATAATGACCCGAATGTCCATCCTAATGACCCGAATGTCCACCCGAGTTCTGGCATCGAAATTTTAGGTAATCCTATTCCTTCTATTTCCGACCTTGATGTTCCTATAGCAATTAGGAAAGGTGTCCGAAATTGCATTAAACATCCTATTGCAAATTAAGCAACAGCTCGGGTCGCGGTGCTGGCGTGTCCGGAGCAAATGTAACCAGCGAACAAAGGCGCGTTGAAGGTCAATAGTGCAGGTCGTGGCGACTGTCACGGTACCGGGGGCTGCTGCAACAGGCGACACACAAACAGTGGTGGTCTTCGGCAGCTGTGGAAGCAAGATTAAGCTCTGGTGAGTTCGGAGCTTTGAGAAATTGATGCTGGATTGGAGTGAAATACTGAGGGTGATGAGAGGTCCGGCGGGCGGCCAAGGCGAGGCTGCCGCCCGCCGGTGAAGCGAAAATACTAGGTTCTCAACCTTGCTCTGATACCATGTTAAAACT